TGGATAAACAGGGAGGAACAACTGGGGAGTGAGACAGATCATGCAACCCAGGATTCCAGCATGGGAAAGAAAGCCTCAAAACCTCTGACTAAAAAATCCTGTTGGGGTTGCAGCAGTGGGAGAAACTCCCAACCTCACAGGAGGATTCTTTGGAGAGACCCACAGGTCTCGTTGGGTACAAGAATGTACACAAACTCACTCACCCAGGAATCAGCACCAGAAGAGCCCAATTTGCTTGTGGGTAGTGAAGGAAGTGGAGAAAGCCTGTCCATAGCAGAGCAAGCAGCACTGTTCCCTCTTGAAACCCTCCCCCACATACAGAGCCACAGTGCAGCAATGTGGGTTGCCCCATCCTGGCAAATACCTAAGGCTCCACCCCTTACTACAAAACAGGTGAGCGGTGACAAAAAAAAATGGCACAAATGAAAGAACACATCAAAGCTCCAGGAAAAATACAACTAAGCAATGAAGAGATAGCCAACCTATCAGATGCACACTTCAAAACACTGGTAATCAGGATGCTCACAGAAATGGTTGAGAATGGTCACAAAATAGAGGAAAAAGTGAAGGCTATGAAAAGTGAAATAAAGGAAAATGCACAGGGAACCAACAGTGACAGGAAGGAAACTGGGACTCAAATCAAAGTTTTGGACAAGAAGGAAGAAATAAACATTCAGCTAGAACACAATGAAGAAGTAAGAACTCAAAAATATGAGGAGAGGCTTAGGAACCTCCAGGACAACTTTAAACATTCCAACATCCAAATCATAGGAGTGCCAGATGGAGAAGAGGAGGAATAAGAAATTGAAAACTTATTTGAAAAAAATAATGGAGAACTTCCTTAATCTGGCAAAGGAAATAGACTTCCAGGAAGTCCAGGATGCTCAGAGAGTCCCAAAGAACTTGGACCCAAGGAAGCACACACCAAGGCACATCATAATTACATTAGTCAAGGTAAAAATGAAGTAGAGAATCCTAGAAGCAGCAAGAGATGAGGAGATGGTTACCTACAAAGGAGTTTCCATGAGACTCTCAGCTGATTTCTCAAAAGAAACCTTACAAGCAAGAAGGTGCTGAAAAGAAGTATTCAAAGTCATGAAAGGCAAGGATCTGCATCCAAGATTGCTCTATGCAGCAAAGCTATCATTTAGAATGAAAAGGCAGGTGAATTGTTTCCCAGATAAGCTCAATTTAAAAGAGTTCACCGTCACCAAGCTCTTATTATATGAAATGTTAAAGGGACTTATCTAAGGAAAAGAGAAAGATAAAAAACCAAGAACAAAAAAACAAAAACAAAACAAAACCCAAGAACAGTAAAAGGACAACAAACTCACAACTATCAACCATGGAACCTAAAAAAAAAAAAAAACAACGAACTAAGCAAACAATCAGAACAGGAACAGAATCACAGAAATGGAAATCGCATGGAGGGTCATTAGTGGGGATCGGATGGGGGGAGAAAGGGAGAAAAGGTAGAGGGAATAAGGAACATAAATAGTAGGTACAAAATAGACAGGATGAAGTTAAGAATAGTATAGAAAATGTCAAAGCCAAAGAACTTATATGTGCAACCCGTGGACATGAACTAAGGGGGTGGGGAATGTGAGTGGGTGATGGGGTGCAAGGTTGAGGGAAAAAAGAAGGGGGAATGGGACAACTGTAATAGCATAATCAATAAAGTATATTCTAAAAAATAAAAAAGAATACACAATTTTTTAAAAATAAAATACATAACCCTTTTGCAGCCATCGCTGAGGTGCCAGCAGTCAAAATGAAGTTCAATCCCTTTGTGAATTCTGACCAGAGCAAGAACCATAAAAGGCATTTCAATGCACCTTCCTACATTTGCAGGAAGATTATGTCTTCTCCTCTTTCCAAAAAGCTGAGACAGAAGTACAATGTTTGATCCATGCCCATCCGAAAGGATGATGAAGTTCAGGTTGTGTGAGGACATTACAAAGGGCAGCAAATTGTCAAATTAGTCCAGGTTTACAGGAAGAAATATGTCATCTACATAGAATGAGTGCAGCAGGAGAAAGCTAATGGTACAACCATTCACATGGGCATTCACCCCAGCAAGGTGGTTATCACTAGACTAAAACTGGACAAAGACTGCAAAAAGATCCTTGAACGTAAAGCCCAAATATCGCCAAGTAGGAAAGGAAAAGGGCAAATACAAGGAAGAAACAATTGAGAAAATGCAGGAATAATGTAATCTTATACACAGCTTTAATTAAAAACTTGAAATAAAAAAATACACACACATATAAAATGAAAGAGACAGAGAGAGAAAGGAAGAAAGGGAGAAGAAATGTGGCTACTGTTAAAAAATAGTAAATTTGAATAAAGAGTGTGTGGGAGTCTTCTGTACTATTCTTGAAACTTTTTTCTAAGTGTAATTATTTCAAAATGAAGTCTAAAAAAATCAATGGGAAGGGTGAAAGGATATCTGTTCCTCTGCTTGTGTGTCCAATGGCCTTTTGATGAATTATTTGTGTGACAGATGAATATTTTTAGAGGAAGTTCTTAGTGCCGAGGCATGGACTGACAATAAGTTTTCGCTATTAATGTGACAAAGCTCCATTGTGGACCTAGAAAACACTGAATAAGGCCTATCTATTTATTCCTCCTAAGTAGTCTGGCTAAGTGGGTGGAGATTTCCTGTTGGCTTTTATGGTTTTCTGTCATTTGGAGGAATATATCTCAGACACAGCATGTGAGGGGGGACCCAAACAAACCCTGGAATTTATTTATTAAAAATTGTGTATTTATTCTTATGTGTTTAAACTTCAGTCACCTTCAAAGTACTCTTCATTTGATGCAATACACCCATCAAGACTTTTTTCCCATTGTTTTAAATGGTTTCTGAACTGGTCAATTTTGATATCTTTTAGTGCTTCTGCCTTTGTGTTGTTTTGTTTCACTTCATCCACATCAGCAAAATCTTTCCCTTTGGGTACTTTTTTATCCCAGTAAACAAAAAAAGTCACTCAGCGTAAGATCAGGTGAATGGAGGGGAGTGGGGCACAGGGGTCACACCATTTTTTGGTCAAAAACTGCTGAATACTCAGTGCTGTGTGGGCAGCTGCACGTCTAAATCACCCATCATGGAATGGACAAAGGTGTTGAAAGAGCCTTAAAAAAACTCACTGAAGCCCAACACAGCTTCTCACAACAATGCCAGGTGGTACACTGATACAGATGAGTCCCTAAACACTCACCTAGTGGAGGAAGCCTGTATTTCAAGGGACCTGCCCTCCAGAAGACAATTCATTTTGGGGGCATCCCCCCTTGTATACTCTCATACATGCTTTGTACTTTTAATATTCATCTATTACTCAAGAAATGTCTCTACCAAGTACTTACTAACTTGATTCGAAACCAACCATTACTACCTTTATACAGTCATTTCTTATTCCAAAATAATGTCACTATCTAGAAGGGTGTTTTTGCAGGATTGTATTAGCAAAATATTGGAACCAACTTAGGGGTCAATCAATATTGCATGCAATATTCATTGCAATGGAAAATTGTGTAGATGATAAAAATAAAAGAATGAAGCAGCTCCCTAAGAGTGGGCTATGAAACGATCTCCAAGTTAAAAAATAAATGAAGCATTCCTGGCTGGCATAGCTCAGTGGATTGAGCACGGGCTGCGAACCAAAGTGTCGCAGGTTTGATTCCCAGTCAGGGTACATGCTTGGGTTGCAGGCCATGACCCCCAGCAACCACACATTGATGTTTCTTTCTCTCTCTATCTCCCTCCCTTCCCTTTCTAAAAATAAATAAATAAAATCTTTAAAAAAATAAATAAATGAAGCAACTCTATATGACTATATAATGAAACAATTTCCAAGGTATAATTTTAAGAGTAATTTGCAAAATCATGTGTAAGTATAATACTATTGTATTTTAAAATCTGCTTGAATGAGTAAGCAATGAGTGGACAATTAATGTTTTTGCCTGCTTAAGCACATGCCCGTATACCTATATGCAGAGCATTTTCTGGAAAGATATACAAGAAATCAGTAACAGTGATAACCTGTGGAGAAGGGAACAATAGGTGGGAGTACATCTGGGGAACAAGGGAGGGAGAAAGACTTCATTTATATCTTTCAAGTTTTACCAGATTTAATGTAGGAGTCAGTGCCCTTTTAGTAGTAAACACTTAGGGTCCTTTCTCATCATGCAGGCCTAAGCAAAGATAAATCTCTGTAGCCAAGGAAATTGTCCTACTACAGTATGAGTATTATGAATATTGAGTTCATAACTTCTCATATTTTTGCTCAAGAAACTAGCCTTATCTTTGCATATAGTATGTACTTAATGATTGTTTATGGAATTGAGTTCAACTGAATTGATTTGCAGTGCTTTTAGGGGTATGTCTGTATATATTCACACATGCTTGCTGGTTTAAATCTAGGCATGTTAGCATTTCGTGTGTTTCTACCTTTTCTATCCTAAAGGAAAAAAGGATCAAACTAGCATTTATTTTCTACTCTTAAGAACTTAAAACTTAGCCCTGGCTGGCACAGCTCAGTGGATTGAGCACAGGTCACGAACCAAAGCATCGCAGGTTCGATTCCCAGTCAGGGCACATGCTTGGGTTGCAGGCCACGGCTCCCAGCAACCGCACATTGATGTTTTTCTTCTCTCTCTTTCTCCCTCCCTTCCCTCTCTAAAAATAAATAAATAAAATCTTAAAAAAGAGAACTTAAAACTTAGCCAGCAAGTGGATATAAACTAGTGCCTCCTTTTTGGAGGACATTTTGGTGTCATAAAGCAGCATGTAACATATACTCAGGTTGTAACCCAGTCATCTCAACCCTAACAATTTATTCTAAGGAAGCAATTATACACTTCAGAGAAAGATATATGTACAAGGAAGTTCATTGCGATATTTCAGTTAATATTGAAAATTTGGAAAGACTATTAAGTGTTCATGTGTAGGTAGCTAGTTAATTAAAGAATGGCATGTCCATCTAGTGTGGCCATTAAAAATGATGATTCCTGGTGGTCACTGAGCAGATTGAACTCTTCTCTCGTTTGTGCGCCTCCCTCTGTTTCCTCAGCAGCCATGTCTGATAAACCCAATATGGCCAAGATTGAGAAATTCAATAAATCGAAATTTAGGAAGACTGAAAAGCAAGAGAAAAATCCACTGCCTTCTGAAGAAACGATTGAAGAGGAGAAGCAAGCAGGCGAATCATAATGAGGCCTGCACTGCCAATATGCACTGTACATTCCACAAGCATTGCTTTCTTATTTTATTTATTTTAGCTGTTTAACTTTGGAAAGAGGTTGGATCAGTTTAAATGGCTGTGCTGCCCCTTTTCACATTGGAACTACTGACAATGAAGGCCGCACCTGCCTCTCCCATCTGCCTCTCTAGCTGTCAGGGAAGGAAAAGAACTTGCATGTTGGTGAAGGAAGAAGCTGGGTGGGATGACAGTGAAGTCTAGGGTAAAACCAAACTGGTCCAAGGTGTCCTGAAGGCTGTAAAATGTAGTTTAATCAGAGTGCCATTTTTTTTTGTTAAAATGATTTTAATTATTGGAATGAACAATTTTTAAAATATGCAAATAAAGTTTTAAAACCTGAAAAAAATGATGATTCCACCCTATATTTATTGATGAGGAAAATATCTATAGCATATTGTTAAATGATAGAAAGATATTATATGTGTGTTTGCCCTTTTTATAAATTTTCTACATAGGTCACTATGTGTATATAAATAATTATCTGGGAGAAATTTCATCTAAGTATTCAAAATGTTTATTTCTCCATGATGGGTGACTATTATTTCCTTTCTGTATTTTTCATATTATTTACATTTTTTTCTGGAGTACGCATTGTATATCACTTTTACAAAACAAATGAAACTTTTAAAGAAAAACAATAAACTGATATCCCTAGTTTCACTCTTTGATTCAATAAGTATTTGTTGATTGCACCAGAGTATCCTAGACTTATGTTTCTTAATTTACAGACTGCAGAATCTTCTATGCATCCATGTAAGAAAACACTGAACTAAGCACTTATAAAAGCTCATTTTGAAAATTTAGGCACACACACACACAAAGAAATCAAAACAGTAGTTGTCTTTGGGGGAGGTTGAGATGGGGATTGTTTGGGAAAAAGTATGAACAAACATTTTAGGGTGATGGTAATGTTCTGGAAGTTTGTGTTACAGAGATATACACATTTGTTGAAACTCAGAAGTTACTCTTAAGATTCGTATATTACTCCATATGTCAATTTTACATCTAAAGAAAAACAAACAAATTGGACCTTAGGTAGTGATATTGATGTCTAGAATTTACTCTGAAATGCACCAAAACCAAGATAAGTTAATGGATGGTTTGAGGAATGGATATAGGTGAATAGATATATAACAAAGCAAATATAATAAAATATTAATTGTAAATCTAAGTGGTACATATACTTGTGTTCACTATAAAATTCTCTTAATATTGTTATTTAAAATTTTTCATATTAAAATGTTGAGAAAAATGTAAGTACCAATCAACCATTGGTATATTGAATATGTTTATATTTTATCCTTATAAACTAAATTCAACAGATTGAGTTCTGGAATTTGCCCCCCAGAAAAATTCAACCTTTTTGAATAGGTGAGCTATATAAATACATATATATGACATAATTAGTGATAAGGCTGTCTTCATGAGTGGTAACTGTGCAGTCTCACAGAGCCCCACACTTGGTTTAATGTTCCACTGTTGCAGTATTGAAATTCTTTTTTTAATTTACCATCTTTTTTTTAAGATTTTATTTATTTTTAGAGAGGGAAGGGAGAGAGAAAGAAAGAGAGAGAGAGAGAGAAACATTAATGTGCGGTTGCTGGGGGCCATGGCCTGCAACCTAGGCATGTGCCCTGACTGGGAATCGAACTTCCGATGCCTGGTTCACAGCCTGTGCTCAATCCACTGAGCTATGCCAGCCAGGGCAGTATTGAAATTCTTAATAATTTTTAAACAACGGGCCCTGCATTTTCACTTTGCATTGGGCCCTGTAATTTATATTTCTAGTCTAGACTAATTAAAAATAGCAAGATTTTAGCATACATTATCTTCTCCCTATGTACAGCATTGTTAAATACATGACATACATCATTTTACTGAATCTTCAAAAAAGTACTACAGGAGTAGCTACTATTAACACCCCTATTTTACAGATGAACCTACTAAAGCTCAAAAAGTGAAGCTATTTACTAAAGTGTACATATTTATTGTATCCTCAGTATGCCAAGTAATACATTATACGTGGTTGATAATAAATATTTGTTGAATAAATAACAATAATAATAATAGCAGCTTGATTTATTGGGCACCTTCCAAGAGGCTAGAATGCTCCAACTGAAACCTGACATGTTCTCCCCTAAACCAGACTCCCCACCTTTGGTGTCACTACCTCAAAGCCACATTTCCTGCCACCTTAAATTAGGTCAGGTCTCCTTTTGTGATACCTTAGGCTTCTTCTTTTTAGCATTCATTACCATTGTAATTAGGTAGTTCTTTGTTTAATGCCTGTCTTCCCTCTGGACTGAAATCTCAGTGGAAACAGTGACTCATTTTTATCTGTTCGGCACTCTGTTCCCAGTATCCAGTACTGTACCTAGAGCATAGCCTGCCTACCTGCCTGCCATAACTTGATTATACATTTTCTCATTTAATCCTCAATGCTGTGAGGTAGAGATTGTTATCATCACTTTACAGGTGAAGAAAGTAAGGCTCAGAGAAATTAAGTCTGAGTTACCTCACCACAGGAAAAGCACCTACAACATAGTGAACCTGCATTTTCCTGAGTCCAAAGATCTCTTTTCATTTCACTGCAGCCCACTGTTTCCACATGACAATCTGCTTGACATTATCTTCTATTCTAGGAACCATTTATTTCTTTAATATCCTGTTCAGCTCCTATTTTTACTGACTGACCTCAGGACTCTCTAATGAAGAGGAGACGTGCTTTCCAAGAAATAATTACAGCAGGTGATGTAAACAGTCTGGCTGAAGCCAGGATTTTATTTCTTAACCTTAAGTAAAGCAGCTGGAAACTCTGCCATTAAAAAGCCAAGGATCCAATTTCCCTTTAGTACTAACTCTTTTTTAGCCCTGGGAGACACCTTGAAGTGATCCCTTGGGCTATATAAATATGAAATAATCACTCATGTCTAGTTCTTGGGAAAGGCTCGAAATAATTGAGGTAAAACAAATGTAGATGCTTCAAGCTGTTAATAAGATGTCTTTTGGTAGTTTTCTGCCCCTAAAGATTATGATTTCGATATGGAAATATTTTTCCCTAAGTGTGGATTTAGATGGTCCTAAGCTTATACATTACCGGATATCTTTGCAGAGTTGGGAGTACTATCCTTTCATCAATTGTTTGTGAGTGTCATGGAACTGGATGGAAAGGAATGCTGGGAGAGTGCACAGGCTTATTTTTTTTAGCCAGTGTTGGAAGAGAGACTGTGAACTAGAAAAGGAGAATGCTTGGCCCATCATTCCATAGTGTGCCTTATGGTGTTAAGACTGAAAATCCCAGACCTTATGAATTGCACTGATGACAGATGGTGTTGCACCTTGTCTTTTGCAGAACATAGGACATGAGAACATCATTTGGTTGTCACAGAGTTTTTTGTGCCATTCTGAGGGTAAGTCTAGATTGTGGATCTCTCATAATAGCTACTGCTAATAAGTTGCCCTATTATATTTCTTTTCTGATATTTCTCAGGCCGCATAAAAAGACTTGTTAACAATCATAGCTTTACCTAAATTGTGCTCTTGAGCTTGTTCCACTTTCTTGGAGTAATAACAAGCACTTCCCAAAGTCAGTAGTAGAAACAATGGTGACAATCATCTGTGCAAGATAATGGTGCCCAATGGAACTACATCCAACAGGATGAGAAAGAGCTGGGTTGCAGCAGAAGAACAGGAGAGACTGTTCCTGAAAGCACAAGAGCTACATTAGAAATACAGAAGAAGAGATTGCTTATTCTAGGAAATGGACTGTGAGGACTTAAGCCAACATTAAAAGAAAGCTAGTGAGATAAGATATATTTTTGTTACTCTGTATGCCATAGTTAGTCTTGAAGATGGCTCCCAATGATCCTTGCTTTTTTTTATTCATGTCCTTATAAAGTTCTCTGCCTCAGTGAGTCATGGCTAGTCTATGTGAACAACAGAGTATGGTGGAGATTACAGTAAGTGACTTCCAAGAGTAGCTGTAAAGGTTTCATAACTTCTGCTTTGGTATCTTGGATTGCTTGCTTTGGGGGGTCAGTCATCTCATGAAGACTCTTTGTTTTTGTGTATTTTATTGATTATGTTATTACAGTTGTTCCAAGTTTTCCCTCTTTACCCCCCTCCACCTAGTACCCCACTTCCCTCCAGCAATCATCCTTTTAGTTCATATCCTTGGGTCATGCATATAAGTTCTTTGCCTTCTCCATTTCCTATAGTATTCTTAACATCTCCCTGTGTATTTTGTAGCTACCAATTATACTTTTTAATCCCTGCACCTTTCTCCATTCTCCTCCTTCCCCCTCCTAGCTGATAACCCTCCAAGTTATCTCCATACCTATGATTCTGTTGCTGTTCTAGTTGTTTGCTTAGGTTTTGGGGGGGGGGGGGTTAGATTCAGTTGTTGATGGTTGTGAATTTGTTGCCTTTTTAATGTTCATAGTTTTGATCTTTATTCCTTAAATAAGTCCTTTTAACATTTCATGTAATAATGGCTTGGTGATGATGAACTCCTTTAGCTTTACCTTGTGTGGGAAGCACTTTATCTGTCTTTCCATTCTACATGATAGTTTTGCTGGATATAGTGCTCTAGGTTGTAGGTCCTTGCTTTTCATCACGTTGAATACTTCTTGTCAGTTCCTTCTTGCCTGCAAAATTTCTTTTGAGAAATCAGTTGATGGTTTTATGGGACCTCCTTTAAAGGCAATTCTCTGCTTTTGCTGCTTTTAAAGTTCTCTCTTTTATCTTTAACCTTTGGCATTTTAATTATGATGTATCTTGATGTGGTACTCTTTGGGTCCAACTTGCTTGGGACTCTCTGTGCTTCCTGGACTTGTATGTCTATTTCCTTTGCCAAATTAGGGAAGTTTTCCTTCATTTTTTCAAATAAGTTTTCAATTTCTTGCTCTTCCTCTTCTCCTTCTGGCATTCCTATGATTTGGATGTTGGCACA